AAGTATTTTTGAAGGGCTCAGCAAAATTTGACGAGAACTATTTTAAACATATTATATGTACAAGCAGGTTAAGATTGATAATTGTGTTTGATTCAATAATCAGCAATCCCGTCCCACTGTTATTTTACGATTAATAAAATAAGAATAGGGCTTTATAAACAATAGTTTTGCTCGACCGCTAACCTGAAAGTACCGAGTTCGAGTCCGTAGTCTGAATAGTACCTGACTCCAGAGGAGTAGCGACCCTTCCCGGCGCCCGGGGACAAAACTTTCGATTTGCACCCCCTCAAACTTTCTGTTTGTTTTTCCAACCCATTTTGGCGCCCCCCCCCCCCTAATTTCGGCGCCCGGGGACATATGTCCCCCCCCCCCTGCCCCCCTCGCTACGCCTCTGCCTGACTCACATTAGGTCTGGGCTTTGAACTAAACATTTTATGTTCAAAAGTTTTCTTTACTTTTACTTTACACAACAGTTACATCACTGTATTCAAATACTGGTCTCTATTCAGCTGAAACAACTTAATATCAAACAGCTTTCCACCCAATTATTTCAACTCTCTTTGCAACCATTGTAGCTCACTCTACCGCATTTCAAATGATTGGTCGACACAGAAAACGAAACAATAATTTTACTTTAACTCAATAGCAGGCTCAACCGCTTTAACTACAAAGGCTTGTTTTGATTGTATGAATTTAAAAACGTTTTGATAGAACCCACAATAAAATAGCAATGACATTCTCGTTTGTTTGGATTGATCAAATCTAACTATAGCCAAAATCAATACCGTTGGTATAAGCTATTGATTGTTAAACAATCGCTCATTCGGGTAACTAACCGCGGAGAAGAGTCTCTCTAACAATAGTTGTTATACTCGTGAGATATATATATACCTTTCCTAACACAAAATACAGGTGAGGAAACAGCTACAAACTTCACAATCAGCTACAAAAAAAACAACCCCAAATAAAAGGGCGTTTTTAAGTCATCATCACTAATTAAAATTAATAAGTTATCATTTTAACCTTTGATTGGTATGGACTTGAGATCCGTATTTAATTTTGTCAATACCTTATCACAAGACCAGTGTTTCTTCTAGACTTTTTTCTCCGGGGGGGGGGGGGGGGGCGGGGCACTTGACATTGTTGGGGGGGGGGGGCGGTAGACTTTCTTCGGGGGTGGGGCGGACACTGATAAAAGTGTATATTTTCTATATAAATTTCATTTCTTTCGGGGAAGAAACTTTGCACAATACTTGCCGTATACCACGGTCTCTTCTTGAACTCGCCACTTCCTCTAAAACGTCAACAATGCTATTCCCAGCAACTTTGGTCAACAGCTGCAACCGAGATGAAACTGTACCAAGAAAGTCTCTACAATTAGAGAATACAGGAATAGAACATATATTTTAACTTTGTTACCAGCCGCAAGACACTTGGGTTTCTGTCATGCTTTTGCCCCCCCCCCCCTTTCCACCTACGTTTATCGTGGGAGGGGTGTTAAATAATATAAAGAAAAATTTCTATGACATTATTATTACATTCTTGCTTTTCTTTCTAAGAAAGTCTAGTATGTATAGTATGTAGATAGGCCTATGGACCTACTCACTTTTACATCTCTCAACTCGTTGTACTTACACCAGTAGAAGTTTTTTTTTTTTTAATCACTTTATTAGGCATGCAGAGAACAGTCTCTAACCACCACGTCTCAAATTAACAAACTAGAACGTAAACTCATAGACTACACATTCAAGGGACATAACTATGATATTTGTAACTCAAGGGTCGTAACAGTAACTCACAAGAAATGACTTAACTCCTCAAATACAAGAATATTCAAACTGTAAATCTAAATTTAATTTGAACAAAATGAAGGGCTCACTTGTAGACAAAATAAATAAATAAATAAATAAATGCACACAGAAAAACAACAACAAAAACAACACACACCATTGATATTTTCTGTAGAGCTTTGTCCTTATAATACGTAGACCTACCGGTTTCCCATATTTTTCACTCCACAGGCCACCCTTTACCAATACAAGAAGTTTCCAAAATATTTGCACGTCACCGTTCGTACTCATGAAGGCAGAAACAAACTCCACTTTATATGCATATACAGACTTTTTATTCAAATCTTTAAAATTTACCATTTTAAAACCATACAAACAACATTAAAATAACTGATATTGAGCTTTTTAGATATAGAATATTCATTGGAATAATTATATTTACAAAAGAGATAAATTTGAAGGAATTAGAAAATGTAAAATTACACAATTAAATCTATTATAAATAAATTAAAAAAAACAATTACCCACAAATACAAAATGGCAGAAACCAACCATGTATATAAGTATTCATATATATATATATATATATATATATATATATATATAAATATATATGTATATACATATTGGTAAATTTATATATACGAGCCGACCCGCGGCGTATCATACGCCGCTATTTAGTTGTTTTATTTTCTACTTTTCCGTAATTCATAATTTGTGAATTCGACAGTACCGCTGCTGTCAATGAAAATATTTGCTTCAAAACACAATCAGTAGCTCGTTAAGGACGATAACCCTACCCCCTCCCTCCCCCGTGAAAGTAGCCTCCTCTTAGTTACCTACCCTAAGTTTAAAATCGTTCCAAACTAAATTATCTTCCCCTAATAGGCGTCACTGAACCCGGCTCCACGATTGTAAACATTTAGCGTGAACCACAGCTCACCAGACCATGTGGGGGTGGTGGTGGTGGTAGGGATATGCCTAGAGGGGAAGAGGGGACTGCAAGGCACGCTTACAGCTTGGTGTTTTCTAGGGTATCCAAGAAGAGAATTATATATATAGATAGGCCTTAAGTAATTTACCATTTCCAAAAAATTTGGAATTAAAAAAGAATCTAATAATTTAAATATTTAATATATAAAAGTTACCCAAAAAATGCGGAAAACAGGCATCATAGCAATGCTAATTTTACCTAAGGATAACTTTTTATATTTATATGATTCAAACTACAGAGAAAGCTTTCTGTGACTAATATTACTTTCAGTTTGTCTCCAGGTTGAATGTTTAGTCTATATTATTATAAATGAATCTTGTGTAAACACAATTTGTGACAAATATCACATTCGAAGTTCCTTTTCCCAGAGTGAGTAGTTAAATACTGAGATATATAAGACTTTGTAGAAAACCTTCATTCAGCTGTCTTCCAGAATGAATTATTTTGTGCTTAGATAAAAACAATTCAAACAGAACTTTTATGACATAACACACTTGTACTCATGATGTCTTATACGCCATTGGATCCTAACCTCATCCAGGATGATTGGCTAATCAACTAAAGTTCTAGGCAAAAATCTCTACCAATGACTTTCTAAGAGTCAGAAAGATATATTCAATTTTACTTTAGTGTTAAAAATAACGCTTTATTTCCACCTGGAAATCTTATCCTCCCAGAAACATTTATCTCTTCATTTTGAATTGATTGTTGACACAGGGTAATTAATAGATGGGACGGGAATGAGAGGGTTGTTGTAAAGGCTGTGATCCTAAGCATTTTTTTATAAGCATTCAATGATAGTGCCATAGGTCCACCGCCACTTACAGCTGTAACTTAACATAAAAATAGTTGTCATTTTTGGGGTCTATGGGGGGGGGGGGGGGGCGCACAACACTGATTTTCAGTGATACACCACATTCTAAATTAAGTGTTTATTATAAACGTGACCTATTTTTGACAGTTGTAGGAAAAAAGACACAGAAAAAAAAAACAGAACAAAGTCACAGGAAAAAAAGTTACAAATAAGTATTTGCATAGAATTTGTTAATACTTCTATGTATTAAATATTCATGAAGTGCAAATCAACTTACGATTAATTAAATATAATGTAAACCATATAGATATATGAGCAGAGGTTGTATACATATAGTAATATATAATAAAATAGTAATATATTATATTTAACGCACACGTAAAATATTTAGTACGTAGTACATAGGTTATACAGATAATATTTGATAGAATTAAAGTGAATGTTCCAACCTTCTCGGTTTTCATCGTGTTTTTAAAATACTAACTTTAAATTAGCGGGAAATGGCAATATGACGTAGTTAATGCGACTTGATGCCCTCAACTGATCGCAACAGTAGTTCAACCACCAGAACTGCCCAGATTTATCACGCTTATTACATAACAAAGCATAGCATTAAACTTAAACAGAAAGCCGACATGGTACAAAAGCTGTCAGTAACACAAAACATCGACAACAAACAATAGCGACAGACAAAGCCGACTGAGAAGCCAACCAAGGAAAGCCTATGGCAAAAAAACATATGCAAAACACAGTGATGCACCTACATTTGTTTTATAATTAATCTTCTACTGCATATTTAAATAAGTACAAAAATAAATACAAAACAAAAGTTTTCCATTCACATTTTTGACACAGCTTAAAGTGTGTAAAAATGCTAAGCTCATTAAGTTAACCTTAAACTTAAACAAAATATAATAAATAATTACATTGCATTCTTACTCAAGAATATTACAATGAATAATATCAACAATTGTAAAAGAGTTAAAAGGAAAAACAGTTTAACACAAGCAATATTAACTTTAACTTAAATTAATCAAAATCAATTATACAGGAACATATTATCATTGCTACTTAGATCTACAGAAAGCTCTAACCCTACATCTGTAATGCATTCTTGATACGTCTAGAAATCAATAAGCTTATTATGTCTTCCTAAAATAGGTCACTTGCTATACCTGGTTTATATTTAAACCCTGGGTTAGAACAGAGTTAATTACTTTCACAGTAGTCTTCTAAAACATTATAACCAAACATTCAATTATCTTTATCACTTTAAAGAAATTCTATTTTGTTAGTGGATGTATAACACTTCATTTGGTTTTACATTAGGACATAAAATCTACTTATGTTGTTTATCAACAAAATTAGTTAACTATTTTGCAAAGATAGGTAATTTAAAAAAAAAAAAAGCTTAACATAAATAAGCTTCCTGATAAATATATTGGTCAAGCATCACAAATATGCTGACTTTCACAATAAATGCATTTTTAAATGAGTATTTAAACAACTCTTTCTAGAAAATTTCTTACGACATAAATCACATTCATATATCTGTTTCCCAGAATGAATTAGTTTATGCTGATATAAATGAGACTTAAAATAAAACTTTTCTTGACAGATGTCACACTCATACTCCTTAAATTCATGAGGAGTTTTTTGATGTCTTGATAGATATTTTTTCAAAGAAAATTTTTTATGACAAATGTTACATTCAAAACGTTTTTCTTCTGCATGAGTTTTGCAATGTCTGCGTAAATCAATCTTCTGAAAAAATGATTTATGACAAACATCACATTCATATTTCCTCTCGAGAAGGTGAAAATTTAAATGCTTAGATAAATCAAAATCATTAGAAAACTTTTCATGACATAATTCACAATCATATTGATTTCCTCCGCAATGAATTATTTTATGCTGAAATAAAGCAGACTGAAAAGAAAACTTTTCACAGCAAATAACACATTCATACATTTTTTTCACAGTGTGACGTTTTTTATGTCTATAAAAATCAGTATATAGTAAAAATAATTTGTGACAGTTTGAGCATTCATATATCCTTTCGCCAGAGTGAAGATTTAAATGCTGAGATAGACAATACTTCTTAGAAAACTTTTTATGACATAAATCACATTCATAAGGCTGTCCTCCACAGTGATTAATTTTATGCTGAGTTAAACAAGACTTAAAAGAAAACTGCTTATGGCAAATGTTACATTCAAAAGGTTTTTTTTCTGAATGAATTCTTTTATGAGTAGACAAATAACTCCTATGAAAAAAAAATTTGTGACAAATACTGCATTCAAAATTCCTTTCACCACAGTGAATAGTTAAATGTTGAGATATTACAGACTTACTTGAAAACTTCTTTTGACATAAATCACATTTATATTTCTGTGCATCATTATGATAATTTTTATGCTTGGACAAAGAAGACATGATGGAAAAATTTTTATGACAAATATTACATTCATGTGGTTTTTCTTCAGAATGAATTTTTTTATGAGCACTTAAAGAATTCTTCCTAAAAAACAATTTGTGACAAACTTCACATTCATATATCTTTTCCCTTGAGTGAATATTTAAATGCTCAGATAAACAATACTTATCAGAAAACTTATTGTGACAAATATTACATTGATATGGTTTCACTCCATTATGAATATTTTTATGTTTAGATAAGCCACTCCTATTGGAAAAGTTTTTATGACAAATACCACATTCATGTTCTTTGATTCCAGAATGAACAGCAGCTTTATGTTCTGATAAATAATAAAAAGAAAATTTCCTTTGACAGATATTGCATTCTTTCTTATCTTTAAAATGAAGTTTATTGTGTAAAGATTTTGTATATAACATTTTCAACTCTTTCAAATCATTATCAATCAGTGAATTCAAAACAGGTACTTTTTCACCACAAATAGTAGATAAATCTGTTGAATCTATTTTTGATTCTTTTGTACCATCTAGTGACAATGTTGGTACATCTGGTTTCATGTCCTCAGAAGTTATAAATGTTGATTCATCTGGTTTCATGTCCTCAGAAGTTATAAATGTTGATTCATCTGGTTTCATGTCCTCAGAAGTAATAAATGTTGATTCATCTGGTTTTATGTCCTCATTTGGCTTCACAACTTTGTAATTTGAAACATCTGAATTGATTTCGTGATTTGATTTATGATCAAACAATAGTGCATCATTTTTTCCCCTCTTCCATTATTCTTTGGTTTGGATAGATAGCTAAAACCAAAAAAGAGAAATTTGAAAGAAACAGCAAAGAAATTTAAATAAATTATTTGTTATAAGTAAAAAATAAATAAATATCCACACCAGCTTTATTGAGCCTTCAGTTTAAAAACTATTATTTAAGACTCATAATTACAATTAATACATTGCCACAGTTTAAATTAAAAATGTGGGTTGATATATAAGTTGTGTACTGCAAAAGCATTTGTGAGTTGTGCTAATGTTGCATTGAACTTACCAAAGGCATTTAAAATTTAAAAATGTATGAATAACTAGGCCTACTAATAAACAATGTTAAGTTTTTAATGTCGAAATCTTTAAAAAGCAAAAAGAGTGAATTAAAACAAAATACTTAAGATTATTTTTATGCATTTACACTTTTCAATTGTGAACTCAAATCATAGATATCTTATTTTTCTTCTTCATTCTTAATTATAATATTGGAAGCTATTTCCTCCAACATAATTAAGTATTATGTGTCAACCTGTTATGTGCCATACAAGCCATTGACACTGATTTGAGCCTGCTTTTCTTTTTGGATTTGCTTCCATAGCCTTTTACAATTCAATAATAAACCACAATGCAGCAGTTGTATGATTTTGGAGTTTTCTCTCCTAGATGTCCACAGCTATCAAGCCTCATATGCCCAAGGGTTTGAACTTGGGACTTTTCTGTTTAGCTACCTGGAGCTTTACTGACCTTATCATGCTGACCCCAAAAGAGAAATAATGTAAGCTGGGCATAGTGTTGACCACACTATCTACTTGTGTGTCAAGGACATTGAAACTGATAAACTCTACTTCATTTGCTGCATGTGCCTTAGGCACAAATGGGAAAAAAATGATAATTTAATTAGGGCCTATCAGTTTAATTTGAAAATATGCTATAAATATACCCAAAATATGCTATAAATATATACAGTATATGTGCCTAGACTTGAGGTAATCTGGTTTTGGGTACGTAAAATCAGCATAGGCTAGTAATGACAATGTGAAATAAACTGGGAGTGATCTCCCCTAAACTTTCTTGAATATTCTTATGTAACACTGTGTAGGCCCTATGAAGACCTGCAATTGTATCAATTGTGGAGAGGTCCACGTAGCGAGGACGGGCGTCACCCGGTGCAGCACTTAATGGTGTCACCCCCAGTGGCGTAGTGACCCTTCCTGGGGACAAACTTTCAATTTGCACCCCCCCCCCCCCCTCAAACTTTCAATTTGCTCCTCTTAAAAGTTAAAAGAATATTTAACACTCGAATTAATCACTTAATGAAGTGGAATCATCATTTTTCTCCATATATTTTGCTATTTTTTGCCTTGGTGTCACCCCCTACCCTATATGGTTTCACCCAGTGCAGTCCGCACCCCCCACCTCACTTCGCCACTTGGGCCTAGTGATGACTGGTATCATTTAATGTGTAGGGCACTGTAGGGCCTATGTACACCCCCCAGTACACACACAGCATTAACTAGTAATAACTAGTTTGGGGTTAGACGACATTAAATTAATAATTAGGCCTAATTATTATTATTTTATTAGGCCCTATATTTAAGACTTTAATAACTATTATTTAACTATACCACCTATAGGCCTATTATAGTATTTATATTATTAATTATTATCGTATTAAAATTAATTAAAACTGTTCAGTAGCCTAATAAATACGCCTAATCATTAGGCCCTAATGATTAGCGATGTTTTCATCAGATGCAACTAATCTAATTTATTTTAGCTGCCATCTTGTTAAAGATTTTTTGGTAAAATTATTATAGATCTAGAGTAATATAGATCTAGAGAGTAACATTACCAGTCCAGAACCCCCTTAGCCAGAAACGATGACTCCTTTCGAGACACCTAATTTCGATACTTATTCCCAATGAAAAACAAAGCATAGAAATACTCTCCATCCAAAGAAGAATAAAAATGTGTATTCACTTTTTCCCCATTCGCATTATAACTTTTGAATATATGCCCCCCCCCCCCCCCCCCCCTGAAACCGACGACCCTATGGTCCTGGTCGCGAACACAAATTTGCCGGTTTTTCCTCCTTGCGATCGGTCTTTCCTACTTACAATTAGAGTCTATTATAATATAACGAGCCGGCCCGCGGCATAACATACGCCGCTATTTAGTTGTTTTTTCTACTTTTCAGTAATTCATAATTTGTGAATTCGACAGTACCAACGCTGCCACTGAAAATATTTCTTTAAAACACTATCAGTAGCTCGTTAAGGACCATAACCCCCCCCCCCCCTTCCTCCCCCCCCCCCCCCCCCCCCACGTTTAAAATCGTTGGCTCTGCTTGTAAACATTTAGAGTGAACACAGCTCACTAAAACCATGTTGGGGTGGGGAGGTAGGGAGCGCGTTTACAGCTTGTTTTCTAGGCGCGTTTGCAGCTTGTTTTCTAGCGGCTCCCAGAAGAGAATTATATATATATAGATTATATCCAGTGGCGGAACTAGAAAAATAGAAAAAAAGGGCCACCCCGCAAAATATTTTTTGAGGCCCCTATATAAATATATATATATATATTATATATATATTATATATATATATATATATATATATATATATATATATATATATATATATATATATATATATATATATATATATATATGAGTATTTAACAAGAGGGAAATAAGTCATGGAAGTGGTTTGAATGGTTGTTTATCTTGCACACTAAAGCATATGTAGATTTTTTTTCTCTATTACGCAACAGCGTGGTAAGCTACTGTAGAACATTACTCCTGTAGTAGTTATTTTTTTTTACAAAACAATTATTAAGGTGAACGAAAACGTAATTTTGGAATACAAAAGCGGCCTTCCCCCCCCCCCCCCCATTGCGGGGTCTGGCGGTATGGTAGTTCCGCCCCTGATTATATCATATTTTTGCTGTTTTTTTTAGCTCAGTTAAATAAATTATCTTGTAGACTAATATGAATATTTTGCTTGTGTAGTTTTGTGTTTCGGTGCGTAATTTTTTTTAAATGCAAAAAAATAATATAATTTAGGCTATGGGGGTCAGCCATAAATGACGTCACGCTTTTTGGATGATTTTTACCTCCCTCCTCCCCTCCGTCACACATCATCACAAAAAGCCAGACCCCCCCCCTACTCAAAATTGCAGTTGAATTTTTCTTAAGACATCGATATTTTTCCAAAATTTTGTCTGAACTCTGTCAAAATAGAGTATTTTAATAAATTCATATTAAAACAGTTTTCTAAAACGCCTAAAATTCGTTTACTAACATTGCTTTTTTATAATGCAAAAGTGTGACGTCGCACGATCTGATCTCCCCCCCCCCCCTCATCACACACCGTCACAAACTTACGGACCCCCCTCCCCCCTATGAGTGTGACGTCATATATGGACGACCCAATGGGAATAAAAAAAAAATGGAGATAACTCTTCCCAATAAAATGCTAGAATAATTACTGTGTTATAGTTTACTATAGGTGATCGGGTGATCGTGACCAGGTAAAACACAGAGGCGTAGCGACCCTTCCCGGCGCCCGGGGACAAACTTTTCGATTTGCACCCTCCCCCCTAGAGATTTCGATTTGCACCCCCCCCCCCTCGAGATTTTGATTTGCACCCCCCCCCCCCTCAACCTTTCAATTTATTTTTCCAACCCATTTTGGCGCCCCCTAAGGTCGGTGCCCGGGGACATGTGTCCCCCCCCCCCCCCCCGCTACTGGTAAAACACGAACATTTTCAGCCTCTTTACGAATACCCCCCCCCCCCACCCAATGTATTTAGTAAATAGTATTTTTTTTATAAACATATAGATCTATGTTCTTTGGCCTATCCCATTCGATTTTAGTTCATTTTTTTCTGGGATAAAACTAAACGTTTTAAAAAGACGCTGTGGCAGAGTTAAGAAGTTAAATAAAATTAATTTCTGGCCTAGATTCTAGATCTATAATATATTTTGTATTTTATTATTATATCTAGATCTAGGCAGTGGTTCCCAAACTTTTACAAGTGACGACCTTCTTTTATTATAAGTAAGTGAGCCGCGACCCCCATAGAATTAAAAAGACGAAATTAGTAAGGAAATTAATAATAAGCACTAAAATAAGATTTTCTTGATAACTGTTTTAAAACGAGGAGTAAAATCTAGCCTCAAAATTCACGGATGAGTTTTTGTTAATGCCAACCGCATTTCATTATTTCATTCTCAACAGTTAATTATTATTAATTAATATTTCTTTTTTTTTTTTTAAATTGGAGAAGTGTGGACAATCTATTTTCGCATAGATATGTAGACACAAAACTTGAAGGGAATCAATTTCACGTTTGGGTATGAATAGTGCATCTTTTATGGCTTTTTAGATTTCTTCCCTGAGAAAACTTTTAATGACAAATATTACATTCATGTTTTTTTTTTCATAATGAATTTTTCTTAAGCCTATCTAACTTATGCTTTGATAAAAACAGTTTTTAAATTTAAATACAACTTATGTTCTGCTGTTTTTAGAAATATTTTCTTACCTTGTGAGTGTAATAAATATCAAAACAGACTTTTTTTTTTGGAATTTAGATAAAGATCCTAAATTTATATGAACACAAGTGTCAACATTTGAATTTTTTAAAATGTGTTGTATGGGTTACATATAACTTCATATTTTTTTTAACTGTATGTGAATGTAGGGGTGCACATCACAGTAGAATATTAACTGTAAATGACAGATGTAATTAAAATGTGTGATATGCTAAGACTATAAGCATCTCTGTATTAACAAATATTTAAGCTATTTTCTACGTTTTTTGTATTGTGCTAATTTTAGTGGTATATTACATTATGAATAAATCTAATTCTAAATACAGATCAAAGTGCATAGGAATGCTTGGCTCAATTATTAAACATAAACACTGTAACTGAACACAACCAATCAATGATCAACTGAGAATACAATTTTTTTACAATGGTAAAGAGACTAAATGAAATACACTGGAAAATGAACAATAAAATATTTGATATTAAACTTCAGTAAATTAACTATACATTAACACTTATCAGCTTAGCACTATAGAATGTTCTAGACTTGTTTGGAAGTGATGGTTGTAATAATGTGTGAAAACTCTAAAATTTCTAATCAATCTTTTTGTTTATTTTTAAGTGTAATAAAATCATTATTGTACTTTGGGCCACTATAAAGAAATACATCAAACTTAAGTAAATCAAAATGAATATGACCAGACAACAAGCACAGTTTACTACAACAATAATACAGGAAAATAGTTTAAAACCGCAGGTAGGATGAGGCAAGAATGTCTGATGTTTACTACCCTCTTCAATATCTTCTTGAGGAAAAAAACATAACATGCTTTAAAAAGCTATAAATAGACTGCCCACATTGTTTACTTGTGTCTTGTTGATGATATTGACAGCATGGCAGGAAAAAGAACTACTAAACTTAGTAAAAAGCATTGACAAAATATTAGCTGCATATGGCATGCAGATCAATGTGGAAAAAAAACAACAAGTTGTCACTTGAAACATAAAAATAATGGGTTCATTAACAAAACCAGTGATGTGACATGACCATGATAAAAAATTTATGAAATTTTTCAGACTAGATTTACTACGCTTTACACAGAAATGTGTCGTAATACAGCACTCTCACACCATTTTTTAATATAACTAACAGCTTAATGAAGCTCATCTATCTTTTATATATATATATATATATATATATATATATATATATATATATATATATATATATATATATATATATATATATATATATATATATAAAGCAATGTTTGTCTGAAACTTTGGGAACCTGTTGAGAATACTTCTGGGGAGGTTACTACAAAAAAAGAAATTTCAAATTCGCAGGGGTGGCATCCCCGCAGGGCGCCATTAGATTTTTATTCTATATACAGAATATAAAATTAAAAGTCGATTGCAGTTTGACACAGTTCATCCGTCCGTCATGAAACTTTGGGAAATTAATGAGAACACTCCAGGAGAGGTTTCTGCAAAAAAAATATATTTTTTTTTTATTTCGCAAGGGCAGCGCCCCGGGAGGGTGCGAATTTTCTCTATTTATGGATGTGGTTTGACAATGTTCATCTTTAGTGCCATGAAACTTTGGGGAGTAGATGAAAATACTCTAGAGAAGAAAAAATAAAAATTAAGTTTCTTATGGGTGGCACCCTGGAGGGTGCGATTTTTGTCAATACATGATTTGACGTCCAGACATCCAGAGTGGCTATTTTACCATCAGTTTATCGGGCGTTCTGCATAGCGGGTAAGGGGTACTACTATATTCAGTGTTAAAACTCCATCTATTTCATGACCCGAAACGCCCCGGCTCCCCGGTGAGTGTTTAATAGTGATATAAGGGTGAGTGATTTACTTACACTGTAGTGTCCCGATAAATATGTTCCAAGCCCAGGCATTGTCTACATGTAAATAACTCTATTTTAGAAAACAAATTCACGCATTTAAGAACATAGCATTAGTAAAGCTTGATAAAACCCTCCAAATATATTTGTTCAGACTTTATTTGTCTTTTATGCATTACTACAACTTTTAACCAATCGCCATGAAACTTTGGGAAATTGTTGAGAATACTCCTGAGGAGGTTTCTGAGAAAAAAAAATTTCAATTTTGCACAGGCGGTGCTACAGAAGGGTGCCATTTGGCGCCCCAGGTTATCCAATGAGCGCTATGGTGCTTACATTCACTTTAAACAGTGCAGTTGATAAATATTTGTAATAAACCATGCCAGTAATTTTGCAAGAGTTAACATTTATATGGTGTGTTAAATTATACTACTGACAAAACTTTAAATGGAGAATGGATTTTGTTATGATTCTTTTTCCCCAAAGTGAATATTTTAATGTTGAATCACATAAAACTTTACAGAAAACTTAAAAAAAAACATGTTACATTTATATGGTTTTTCTCCAGAATGAATAATTTTATGTCAAATGAGACTTTAGAGAAAATGTGAGATGACAAATATCACTATGTTCCTGAATGAATAATTTTATGTCTGTTTAAATAACTCTTTTGATAATACATTTTATGACAAATGTCACATTCATACTCCTTAATACCAGAATGAACAACTTTATGCCTAGATAAGTCGTTTTTCCGAGAAAATTTTTTATGACAAATATCACACTCATGTTCTTTGACTCCAGAATGAAAAATTTTATGTTTGTTTAAATAACGCCTGCTACTAAACATTTTATGACAAATATCACACTCATACTCCTTAATTTGAGAATGAATAATTTTATGCTCAGATAAAGCAGCTTTCAGAAAGAAATTTTTATGACAAATATCACACTCATACTCCTTTATTCCAGAATGAACTTTTTTATGCTGATTTAAACCAGATTTCCAAGAATATTTTTTATGGCAAATATCACATTCATGTTTCTCAACTACAGAATGACAACTTTTATGTTTTGCTATTACAGAATTAATTATTTGATGCCGAGATAAATATTTTTTTTTGGAAAAGTTTTTATGACAAATATTACATTTATGCTGTTTAACTTCAGAACAACTTCTGTTATTTAAATTTAATACTTCTAAAGACTTTATATGCATTAATTTTAATTCCTCTAAATCACTGTAAATCTCTGATTTTATAAGAGTTACTTTTTCACTACAAATAGATGAATCTATTGAATTGCTTAGCTGTCCTATTGAACCATCTGGTTTATCACTATCTGTATTTACAAAAGTGGAAACACCTGGTTTCATGTCGTCAATAGTTGAAACACCTAACTTCATGTCGTCAATAGTTGAAACACCTGGTTTTATGTCCACAAAAGTGGAAACACCTGGTTTTATGTCCACAGAAGTGGAAACACCTGGTTTCATGTCGTCAATAGTTGAAACACCTAACTTCATGTCGTCAATAGTTGAAACACCTGGTTTTATGTCCACAAAAGTGGAAACACCTGGTTTTATGTCCACAGAAGTGGAAACACCTGGTTTCATGTCCACAGAAGTTGAAACACCTGGTTTTATGTCCACAAAAGTTGAAACACCTGGTTTCATGTCCACAGAAGTTGAAACATCTTGTTTCATGTCCACAAAAGTTGAAAATGTTGAAACTGCTTTCATATCCACAAATTTTGGAAATGATATATTCGGCTTTATTTCCACCAAATTAAAGCTATTTGAATTGATTTCCTCATGTGATTTATTTTCAAACCATAATGGAATGTTTTTTCCTTCTTCCATTCTTGTAAGTGTAGATAGTCAGCTACAATAAAAAAAAAAAAGAATTTCAAGTCAAAAAGTAAAAGCAGAAAAAAATAATAATTTGTCATGAACTATCCAAATGCACTTGGACGCTTTACAGAGCTAACTGTAGAAACTGATAAATTTTTTTTAAATTGAATACAGAGTTAATGTTCAAAGATGCTCCAGTTAGAAATCTGTTAAGAAACAAACATAAAAAACTAATAATCTATATATACAATTCTTTTTGGGAGACGCTAGAAAAAAAGCTGTAAACGCGCTTACTACCATCCCCACCCCTAAATGGTCTTAGTGAGCTGTGGTTCACGCTATGCTTACCTTCGTGGAGTCGGGTTTAGTGACGGGTATTAGGGGCAGATAATTTAGTTTGAAACGATTTTAAACGGGGGGGGGGGGGGGGGTTTATGGTCCTTAACGAGCTACTTATAGTGTTTTAAAGAAATATTTTCAGTGTTAGTGTTGGTACTGTCGAATTCACAAATTATGAATTACTGAAAAGTAGAAAAAACAACAACTAAATAGCGGCGTATGTTATGCCGCGGGCCGGCTCGTTACATTTAATAGGCTAATAGCACAAATTAAACATTTGCTTTGATAAATATAAAAACACTGGGATAAGATTTTTGAATTGGGCTTTTTTTAATATTGTACTTGCCTAGACACACAAAATATATAATTGTATATTAATAGACTATAACCATGAATTATATTAACTTATATTTGATATATTTTGCAATAGAGTAGGTTAAATTACGTAATAAAATAGTTTAATTTTGTGAAAACTGCTGTTATTATTATACTTCCGTGAAGCTTCGGCACATAATAAATATTTTAAAATAAACTACAAATTTAAATTTGAATTCAGTTCATTTGCCAGATAGTTTTTTACTTTGGTGATGAAGATAGGCCAACATTGACTTGTTTTTTTTGTTTCGGGTAATAGACTTATGACAAAAAGTTAATATAAGTGATAAGCTATTTATGCTAAAATGATTAATCTATACGTACTAAATTCCCTGCTATTACAAGAAATTCCCTTCTATTTTTCATCTATACAAATTTAAAAACTCTAAAACTTATTATCAAACTATTTATTTAATATTTTTATCAAAATGTTTAGATCTAACCCTTTTTACAAGCTTTTATTTAACTCACTTCCCTTGTCATCAGTCTGTCTAGATCAAAATGCCAGAGCGAAATTGCAGGTTTGTAGTTGGTACGTAGGTCAAGACATGAAGACAATGCAACTTGACATTCAAGTTGACTCTATTCAGGGTTCGTGCGGCCTCCTGAAATTCCAGGAGGTCCTGGAAAACTCCTGGAATCTTAAAAGACGTAAAAACCTCCTGGAATTCTCCTGGAATTTAAAAAAATATAAAAACCTCCTGGAATTCTACTGAAATTTTCATGAAATTTCATTAACCCGCGGCGCAAAACCCGACCGAAATTATTTGATTTTGTTCCGCCAATAATTGAATAGTAGTTTTTAAATGGGACGAAAATAAAAATAAGCGCATCGGCCGTCGTCCGACTGAATCGCACTGCCGTGATCTACACATCGTGTGGCACAGCCGAGTGTGTGGTCACGTGACGCTAGGCGATTGACCCGATTGGATAATACTATAAACAATTTCTAAAGATAGATAGGCCTACATGTGTTCCCGTGTTTGACTTGTCGGCTATTGGATTTTTAAAGTAGACAGGCATGTTTCATAACTTTGTCTTAAACTATTGAAACGGCAAAAAAAAAGTTGTAGTAGTATTTACGGCTCAGGACTAATCGTTAGAATTAATCTTCTTTAGAAATTAACCCGGATAGCTGCGACCCGATCAAACAATGCTGATTCGCGTAACGTTTCATTATTGTATACATAGAAAATAAATTTTTCCAGTGGCTCTTTTTTTCGGTTGACCAAAAAATTATTAATACGCTTAATACTAGCTTGCCAAATCGACCAAAATGGGCTGGGGTGGGTGGGGGAAGACACTGACCATCCTACACGGTATGTAACACCCAACGTAACATCCATAGCCTCAACCCGCCCCCACTACTCCGTGACGCGACAAGCCGACGATTGTCGCCTTTGATGTTGTGTAACACCCGTACGGTACCCGAGCAGCTCGTGGTGGTTTCATACCCCACCTCTTTTCCCCCTTCACTTTGTGGAGTTGATGTTACTTTACTAATCCTTGGGCATAGAACAAGAAATCTTGCCAGACTTTTGTCTCTGAAATTACATAATATTCGTCTGACACGTTCATCGGGTTGGTCGACTAGCCTAGCATCATTAGATTTGGCATCTAAAAACCAATAAAATATCACGAAACGATATTAATTGGTGAAGTCTGCTTTCATTTATACCTCTTTTATATAGTGAAAAACTCTTTAAAATTTGGTCCATACCCTCCCAGTATCTATCCTCTTTCAGGGTCTATCCCGGTTGTCTGAAAAAACTGCTATTTTTTTAATGACAAAAAAAAAAAAAATCATAACTTTTTTGTTTATGGTCAGATTTTGAAAATTCAAACTGGTCTGTAGACAGATTGATAGCCTCTATCCTAATATGTAACTAATATATTGTTTTACTTTTACTGAAATTAAATTTGTGCATTGGCATAGCTAATTAAATGTATTATTAAGTACGCTTTTTTTTAAAATGTACAAATTGGGTTTCTTTTTTGTTTTTAAAATCTGCTAGAATTTTTTTAAAACTCCTTGAAAATTCCTGGAATTTTATTTGAACTTTTGAGCATGAACCCTGTCTATTGGTTGCCTGATTAATTTAAGAAATTATTAAAATTTTGTCCAAATTAGTAGGCTGTCTCATCAAACTATTCCGCGCAATTAGACACGCATCATCACATTCAATAGGTGTGCAATGGTTTTTAGTCATATAACTCTACTGTAAATAAAACATGTAAAGTACTAAAAAAAGATGTCATAAAAAACGTTTTTATAACAAGCTTCTATGTAATAATGCACTAAAAAGGAGAAAATAAATTATAGACTACTATTTAAATAACTATAAAGAAAAGTGTGGGTCTCTTCCTAAATACTAGGAAAGGTATCCAATAGATACTAAGTGATTCACACTTTTCTTTATAGTTATTTAAATAGTAGTCTATAATTCATTTTCTCCCTGATTAGTGCATTATTACATAAAAGCTTGTTATTAAAAGGTTTTTTTATGACATTTTTAAAAATTTAATTGTGCCTTTTGGGTAGTCTTACTTTTGATTTCATTGTTTATATTCACCCTCATTATGGAAGCTTAGTTTGAGAAAGATATATTAAGTATTTAAACTTATACATGAGGCATCATAACTGAAAATTGCATAAAATAATTAAGGAGGTCGCTCCATTGTCACCGCTATATTTTTCTATACCAAAACGGTTTCCGCCTAATTACTATTTATTAAGGTACACAATTAACCACAATCCCAAAAATGTTCATGCATGTAAATCAAATAGTTTACAGTTGGCATACAGCTGTACATCTTTCTTGCATTAAAGTTGGCACTTAAAAATCAATTTGTATGCCTTCTATAGCTTATGTTGGCCACATCTTGACTAATGTTGAGCAAGATATCTTTAATAGTTAAAATTTTATTTGACGTTTGTGCAGCCTACAACAGACTAATTGGTTACAGTTTTTCTTAATTCGTTTTCAGGCGGATTTTTATACCAGTGTCTGATAATTGAATCTTCTTTAAAAAAGGGGTGTCAGGTTACTCTTACTGGTAGTTAACTAAATACACATTGCTGGCTAATGACTAATGTCAATGCGAACCCTAGTCCTACCATATGCCTAATCCTAATTTGAATTTCTAACCATAAAAATTAAAATTAGTTGAGATTACCCTAACCCAGGGATCAGCAACCTTTTGAGGCGGAAGAGCCAAAAGTTACAATTTACCAAATTTTAATCATTGCCGACTTTATATTACGATGTTTAACTATAGTTTGTTAATAATACAGTTGGATGTAGACTTTGTCATGGTGCCCCCTCCCCCCTCATTTAATAATTATCGATTTGAACTTAAAAGGCTATTTAACTTTGATTAGGCCTAATCATTAAAATGGAACCGGAAAAAAGCATTTTTCTTCGGTACATTTTCTTTTTTTTGCCTTGGTGTCACCTCCCTAAACGGTGTCACCCGGTGCTCTCTGCACCACCCGCCCCGCCCTCGCTATGCCTCTGCATTGATTTCATCGTGATATTTTTCAGACTTTTCGAAATTAAGCAATTTACCACCACTCGCGTGTCTTTGACAAAAAGAAGTTTTTTTTTCTCGAAACAAACCACTTCTTCCACTGAAAAGAACACACCTTTCCTGTTTGACAGTGTAGGCCTAGTTTGAGACTTTAAAACTTTAAGGCACCTATTTTTGTTACTAGATTCTATTTCAAATAGTATTTGACATAGAATGAAAACTGAAAACCAAAGAATAAAAATACTCTCCAGCCAAAGGAGAATATAAATATATATTCACTTTTTGTCCATTCGCATTATAACTTTTAAAATATATACACCTGAAACAGTCGACCCGGGCCTCTTCACGAGCTATACAGTATAATTTCTCGTTACGATCATGTTATATTTTTGCGGTGTTTTAGCTCAATTAAATAAATAATATTTTATTATAAACAATGTGTATGTAGGTTGCTGTTTCTGTAGATAATTGTTAAACAATTCAAAAAATAATACAATGATTGAAATAAAAGAAGGGAGATAACTATTAAAAAAAATAATTAGTATATTATTATATTATGGTCTACTACAGGTGCTCGTGAGTAGGCAAAACATGACATTTTTTAGCCTCCTCACGACTACAAAAAAAAAAATCTAAACTAGAGGTCTAGTTAGTAAAGGAAACAACATATTCTAGAAACAATTGTGATCTTTAGTCTATCCAAGTCAATTTCAGTTTTTTAACTGAAATTGACATTGATAGGCTAAAGATCACATTCGTTTATTCTGAAAAAAAAAACAACAACTAAACATTGTTTTTAAAAAGAAGCTATGTTGGGAGGAGGCTGGCCGCCTACACGGGTTGATTTCAATTGCTCATAACCAGGGTTCCTACATTTTTTTACCAGAAAATTCCCTGCTTTTCCAAGACTAAATTAGTATAGTGGGCAGATGTTGTAGTACCCTTGAGTGATTGATCAAAATTGATCAATGGTAGAAAGGCTTCTGAGTCTTAATAATAAAATGATTAGGGGCCGTCCATAAATGACGTCACACTCGTAAAGGGGGCGGGGGTCCGTAATTTTGTGACGGTGTGTGATGAGTGGGAGGGGGGGGGGTTCAGATTGTGTGACGTCAATTTTTTGCATTATAAAAAAGCAATGTTAGAAAACGAGTTTTAGCCGTTATTTCGCGTTTTAGAAAAGGGTTTTAATAAATTGTAATAGGAATTGATCAAAATACTCTATGTTGACAGAGTTATACCTCTGGCTTTCACCTCGTTATTATATTCCACGTCTCTTTCTCTTCTTTATTTTATCTCTTCCATTGCTCCCAAATTAATTTATTCCGATTTTCTTTACCTCTCTTCATCCATTTTCTCTCTCACTCTCACTCTTTCTATTCTAACCTCTCTCTCTTTCTCTCTAAATAGTTCTCACCGTCTCTGAAAAGGCTGATCCAATTGTCAGTGTTGTTGACATTTTATGATGGTTTCTAATGAGCAGTTTGTTGATTTCATGTTAAAGAAACACACAATGACAGATGTATTACTTTTGTTTAAATACACATTTAAACACAAATAAACGGAAAAATCAATCTTCATACAAAGTACGCTGTTCATTCGGCGTAAGTGATTTGACGCATGTAAAATAGAGTCATAATCCAATATAAGACATACATCATTTTTTCTCTCCAAAAGAACGCTAAATGTCACATTTATTCACAATCTACCACAGAACAATAAATTGTTTCTGAACAACACCTCAAAGCAATCGATCTTAGTATGCTACACAAAATAAAACCACTAAGAGAAATACGATAAAAGAAAATGGATTGTATGAAATGTTCTGCAGTTTGATGAAAAGAGCGGTTGATTTGTGGAAGTCTGCAAGTTTGATACGGAACATTAAACATAGAAATTCTTTTCCGACCTTTTATGTAAAGTAAACAATATCAGGTTGTGGTCTTTGATGTTTTCTTTGCTGTATACAAGATGCACGTTGTATTTCCAGCAAAGACATAGGCTTACCGTAGTGTTTGAAAAGAATACAATTTAGTTATTGTAAGCATAATATTTTATAGAAATGTGGGCCTATTATAATCTAAAATTATTTTTATAAGAAACTCATTTCTTAGACCAAAAATGTGAGAGGAATAAACAATGATCCAATTCAGTCTATGCAAGCATAAGCATCGAGAGTACCAGATAAACCAGTCTACAAGTAGAGAACGTAAGAAAACTTTTTGCATTCATTCTTTTCTACACCAGTGCAGCAATTAATACCAGGATTTGTGAATAGCTCTGGGTATCCAGGAGGTTGCATGGTACAGCGGCTGTATTCCATCATGGAACATTTTCTCCATTCTGCGAACCTGAAGGTCCATGGGGCAAGTGAAGTAGAGTTTACCTGTTTCTGTGACTTCGGCATATGAAAGGATAGTTTAATTTTCTTAACGTGGTTAGGGTACCCAAGAGCTGAGTGGACTCAGGGGCGGCGTTCTGACTTGAGATTGGGATCTGAGCTTCAGGCCTTGGTGTTATAAGTCGAGGATTATATTTTAAGTGGATACATTTTGTTCCAAATTGATCTCAAATAGAAGACGTAATGTTCTTAGGGAGGAAAGGGGAAGGGGGGGGGGGGCGGGTTATTACTATAGTGACCAGAAGTGATTGTGGGAGGGAGGGGCTTAGAAAGTTTGATGAAACATATCTGCAATTTGAAAAATAATTGTTAAATACATTTTTTTTGCCGTCATCACATGTTTTAAAAAGAGATTATGTAAATTTACTGAAGTTAATAAATATACTGTGCTGACCAATCTCGGTAAAAATATCTGAACGAAATTTGTTTTAAAAAATGTGACGTCATTTACGTGCGTTTTTGTGACGATGGGAAATTATGGTTGGGAGGAGTGAATGTAAAAACTGTTTCGAAAGCGTGACATCGTTTATGGCTAACACAAAAGTTTTTTTATTCTCTGATGCTCACACACTCTAATGAAGACCAGACATTTTGGATCCCTTTTTCGTATTTATATTCAACACTGCACTCTAGAACTAATCAACATTATCGCGAAGTTTATATCTAAATGTATTTCTCTAAAGCACAAATAAAATAGAAAGTTAATTATTGTCGATTTGTAGAAAAAATCAATAAAAATCAATATATCAATATAATTAAGCTGTTTTAAAGCCGTTTGTGAAAATGAAAAGCTTCTTTAACAACAAGTAAAACCTACTGGATTACGTATTGAATACCACTGTTAATTTCAATTTATCGATCATTTTTTGCCCATATATTAAGAAAATGGCCATGCAAAACAAACACAGTGTCAACGTTTGACTTAGAAATTTCAAGTAAGTAAAATAAGTTAAGTTCCCTTTTAAACTGACCATCTAAGTAGCAAGTGAATTTGAATTGACCTGTTTATTTGACCTCGGAATATGAAGAGATAATTTGCTTAGCTCGACTATATGACCAAGCCGTCTGATAGTTGAAAATAAGTTGACTGATTAGTCATTGTAGACTAATGCCATACACAAACTAAAAGGTTTTTTTTAACTTAAAAATTGATAAGCTGTATTCATTTTAAACATATTCAGATATTAATTAATTCATTGTATTGTTGTAAATATTATAAAAGTTTTACTATAAATCCATATTGCAGAGGAGTAGCGACGGGGGGGGGGGGGGGTACATATGTCCCCGGGCGCCGACCCTAGGTGCGCCAAAATAAGCTCATTTCAGCAGCTATTTTGAATTATAAATATAAAAAATACAGGGGGGGGGGGGCGCCAAATTGAAAGTTTGTCCCCGAGCGCCGGGAGGAGTCGCTACACCTCTGCCATATTGTGAGGCATACATTCCACATAGTTGAAAGTTTAATATTGTACATTTCTTTTGTAGGTTGTATCAGGCTAGCTTTTACAGAAATTCAAATATTTTCCATATTGACTGACCTCACGAAAACAATTTGGGATTTGGGCTATAGGTTCACCAACACCACACCCATTTCATGTGGCGTCTTGTGCATGAAGTCATCCGTCTTTTGTCGCAGCTTTATCCACAGTCAACAGACTGGGGAGTGTAGAGGAGGTAGAGCTGGCTTTGACTCGCTAATTTTAGTTAAAACTCAAAACATTAATGTAGCGAACAGTGGCGGAACTAGAAAAAAAGGGCCACCCCGCAAAATTTTTTTTTAGGCCCCCCCTATATATATATATATATATAAAATATATTATATATATATATATATATATATATATATATATATATATATATATATATATATATATATATATATATATATATATATATATATATATATATATATATATATATATTTATATTTATATATATATATATATATATATATATATATATATATATATATATATATATATATATATATATATATATATATATATATATTTATATATATATATATATATATATATATATATATATATATATATATATATATATATATATATATATATATATATATATATATATATATATATATATATATATATATATGTATATATATAGGCCTATATATGATATGATATATATACACTCACAAAATACGAACATGAGATATTCATTATACTGGCCTGTTCGGGATTTGAGATACATCAATTTAAAAAAATTTCAACTTCATGTCAAGTGAGTTAGTGCAATAGTGTGTTTTGTGAAAATCAGTTTAAATTAATTTTTGATAGAAGCCATCTTAACCACCCAGTCGGTCAAAAATAATATAAAACATTAAAGCTTTGTATAAGTAATGGTGTCTCGTGTTATGTTTATTTTTATGTTTTTTTTTGTATTTATATTATTAATTTTTTAAATATTATTGATTTAATACATTTCCTTTTTATACAATGTCATTCTTTAGTAATTACTTATAAAAAATAATAATTAAGAGAAGTAAATGGTTTTTAATTTGTTTAGTATAAATCTATTAAAAGGAGCTTATGATTACCCCTATTTGACTATTTAAAAAAAGGGGAAATAAGTCATGGAAGTGGTTTGAACATTTGCTTGTCTTTGATAAGTTTAATTGTAGGAGAAAGACTCGGCTTTCACAGTGGTTTAAAAGCAAAGGGAAAAAGAATATACAAGAGCGTGGGGTGGTGTCTATAGAATAAAGATAATCCAACCGCAGCTACGGTAATTTTTTACAAAACAACCAAAAGTCAAA